GCAACGAACACGGAATAATTATCCTGAAAATCCTGACTAAAACAATTATTAATTTCTGCTCTTTTAACGGTCTAATGTGTTCTCATTGGTTCTCACTTCATTTGCAACAACCGTAACTCGACTTTGTATTAACAAGTAAGAAGATTCTAATGTAAATTCATTTTTAACGACAAAGACTCTACATCATGATTATGTAATAAGATATTTGACTCTATACATTGAACAACCCTCGGGCGATTCCGTCGTCAAAGTCAATGTAAGACAGATAACATAAATGTAACAAATCATGTCACTTTGACTCAGAAATCTACCCGTCGCGAAATGCCTTCTTGTACATGGTCTGTAATATCACATTTGTCCAGAACGTTACGTTCTAACTCAATCTATGTGTATGAAAGTGCACTATTTAATTTTTATAACTATCTTTGAGAAACGTGAGAGTACGTATTTCTGATATATTTCAATACGCTTAGTTAATCTGATAATATATATTCTTCAGAAGTATTAATCTTAAACTTCTTTGCAGTAGTCTGGTATCATATTAAATCCTGCATTTATTAATCAAATTATAAAATAGTAAGTAGTAAAAAATAGTTTTACTATTTACATTAGTAAATACATTCAACTTCCATTCATTTTCTTATTTGTCTACAAGTGACAGTACAACTGTTAAAAATAATAATTAACACACTAATGGGTAAAATCAAATTTTCTTAATATGCAACAAGTAACTATCATAAAAATATAATTTATAACAGAGGTGTCCAAATGTCGCTCACAAGCCACAAGCTGTTCGAGCCTCCCCTCGTGGGTTTCCTCCACTACCGACCTCAGATTGACTCGAACGAGTCAAACTAAGACCCATAATGAGGGTACCTCCGGAGGGAAAGAATGCTGCTCATAAGCAATAGATGGACACCTCTGCTCTGCCCTTTATAAAAGACAGAATACTCATTCCTTCTGAGTATATACGTCTACCATACAAATATGTTTTGTAGAACACAATACATGCTGGTGAAACACAGTAGTACCTTCCCTACATTTAACGCTCACACTCCATGAAAGTGGTCGTGAGTACACGTCAGTACGTCTCGGTAGTCTACCCGTGTACGTAACCGTATGCGTTCTTTGCCAGTGGCAACGAAAACACCGGCCACGATAACTGGAAATCGCAATGCACTTTTCAATGGTCATACATGCACAACGTGTTAAATTGTTCCATAACACGCGGTTTTTCACTAGGGCGTGCATATCGATGCACAGGTGACATAACTTAATACGTCTTCTTTTTATGCACCGATACTTTATTGCGATTCCCAGTACACGTGTTCCACTATTCATGGAACTTGCAAATACGAATGATACCTTTGTGTCTTGCGACACTGGTTCCGGTTTTTGAAACGTGCTGACGCGTCTCGTGGTATTGCGCTAACTGCTACAACATGCTCATCTAAGAAGGCACCACTATGTTTCCCCTTTATTTTAAACATACCCGTATGGTTCCGTTCTTTCTACTCTACAATCAAATCTATTATCTAAATTTCTTTTACACATTAGTGAATTCAATACTATTTTTGTACCAGCTGACTAGTTGTAGACTATTGTGAATTTATTGTATTTTCTATATTCTGTAAATTTCCTTATGTAAATTGTATTTCATTCTACATTCATAAATGATACCAGACGACGACATTGAAATTATAAGTAAGCAATGTGACTTCGTTCGCATCACATTCACCTCTATATCAAACTTTTAAAGTTGAACTCATAAATATACTTTTAATATAAAATATTTATGAATTGCATTACTAATTGTAAACATGGCATACAAGAAGACCCTAGCCTAGCTAAGGAACACAACAGATCAATGTTACTACTCGCGGATATGATTGCATATCCGCGTTCACTGTACTCGCCAAATTTAGCACGTATACAACCAGTCTCCCGTGCCGCTTCGGACCTATCGTCCTACGGCATGATTGGGGACCAGAGGAATCAAAAAGCATGCGACTCACCCGATGATAGAAGGGCTGCGTATAAGACAAGAATGTTGAATCAAGTGGAGCTTTGCCCGAGGACATCTTATTGAGTACTCAGTGATGAATGTGAGCTTTGCTGGACGACATTATCCTGAAAATCCAACGAAAAAAATTATTAGTTGCTACTCTTTTAACAGGTTAATATTCTTTGATTCTTTCTCATTTAATTTGTAATTAAAATGATTCAAATTTGTATTAATAACAATTGAAAAGCAAAGATTGGATACTTATTAATTTAATAGAATTCAGTCATTAAGAAAAAGACCCTACTGGAAATTCATTTTTAAAGACAAAAAGACTAATCATGATTCTTTAATAAGATATTTGACTCTACATATTGAACAACCCACGGGTGATCCCATTGTCAATGCCATTGCCAAGGTACGATAGCATACCCACATTCACTATACTCCCCAAATTTAGCATATATACAATCAGTTGCCTGTGTCACACTGGACTAATCGTCCTATGGCATAATTGGGGATTGGAGTAATAAAAAAGGCATACAAGGACTCACCGCATGATAGAAGGGTTTAGAGTTTTTGCTGGTGAAACTTCACATCAGGTTATCCGATTTAGTGTTCAGTGATGCAACATTTAAAGAAACTGAAAAAAAAAACAAGACAAATTTGTTACATTCAATATTATTATTACTAATAAATATAACACGACAATTATTCAGTTTATAATATTTATGAATTACGTTGTAGCATAATACATAACTATGCTGCAATCATGTTTGTTTTTTCACTTAATCAATGTCCCACTTTTCTACATATTCATAAAATCATTAGCAGTACCAAAGTTGCATTATTTATGTACGCTTTGATAAAAAGCATGATAAACTATGCAGCTTGTATTGATCAAATTTACACCAAAAACTGTATATAAATGCAAATACAATAATCTCATATGGGAAGACACGAGAAATTATCTATAATCTATTTTAATACAATTTCACGAGATACATAAATCACAAACATTTCCAATTTGAATGTCTCAAAGTACTGTAGTTCAAATTTTGTAACATTCAAAGAAGCCATTTTGAATGCTTCAACTACATAACAATATGTATTGAAAAAATTGCTCGAAAAAATTCTCATTTGATCTTAGCACAAACCACGAAAGCACGATTATTTCACTTACGGTTAAAAACAATATAAAAATACGTAATGAAGTGTCACTTTGTTGTCATAATAAATGTTATAATATACATTATAATAACTTACCAGAATTCACCAATTTCCCGCCGAATTCTGTTTGAAGGCAGTCAGCAATGCTCAGGACGGTAGTGCGTACTTTCGAACCGAAACTCTGAAACAGAAAATAAACATAAATTTAAGTAATTACACTACGTTAAGAATAGTTAGGTTACAAATTATGAATTATTGAACTCGTGGTGTGTCGCAAAGATTGCAAATTGGATCAGAAATACGTAAATGTTACATTAATTGTTACACAGTGAAACCGAAGAGTAAACCGAAGAGTAAACCGAAACCTACGATATCGAATTAATTCGGGATTATTTAGTCTAAATTGGATAAATATTTAAGAACAGTAACGATAGAGAGCTAATGACGGTCTAGGAATTAATATATATATATATATGAATAAAGATGAAAGGTAAATCTCAAACACTCACTTTGATACGAGCAACCGGCTTTTACATCTTATCCCGCCAAATTCTCCGAAACGAATGACACTTCGGGTACATTCGGCCGGTCCCGAGCGGTTGATTCGGATATCTTCGGGAAATCCCGAGTAGCTGATTGGTCAGAGCGGTATATGCACGAGTAATACGACTTGGCGGGAACAAACATGTGCATCACTCCAATTTAAACGACGAATGTAACACTGAAAAAACATAACGCCAAAAATGTATATGTATTTCGTCACGTATCCAAAAGATAACTTATTAAAAGTCCGTTAACATGTTTATAGAGAATACTAAATCTACTCAGACTTTACTAAATACGTAATGAAGTGTCACTTTGTTGTGATAATAAATGTTATAATAAATATTATAATAACTTACCAGAATTCACCAATTTTCCGCCGAATTCTGTTTGAAGGCAGTCAACGATGCTCAGGACGGTAATAGGTACTTTCGAACCGAAACTCTGAAACAGAAAAGAAACATAAATTTAAGTAATTACACTACGTGAAGAATAGTTAGGTTACAAATTATGAATTATTGAACTCGTGGTGTGTCGCAAAGATTGCAAATTGGATCAGAAATACGTAAATGTTACATTAATTGTTACACAGTGAAACCGAAGAGTAAACCGAAACCTACGATATCGAATTAATTTGGGATTATTTAGTCTAAATTGGATAAATATTAAAGGACAGTAACGGTAGTGAGCTAATGAAGGTCTAGGAATTAATATATATATGAATAAAGATGACAGGTAAATGTCAAACACTCACTTTGGTACGAGCAAACGGCTTCTACGTCTTATCCAGCCAAATTCTCCGAAACGAATGACACTTCGGTTACATTCGGCCGGTGCCGAGTGGTTCATTCGGCTATCTTCGGGAGATCCCGAGTAGCTGATTGCTCAGAGCGGTATATCCTCCAGTAATACGACTTGGCGGGAAGAAACATGTGCATCACTCCAATTTAAACGGCGAATGTAACACTGAAAAAACATAACGCCAAAAATGTATATGTATTTCGTCACTTATCCAAAAGATAGCTTATTAAAAGTCCGTTAAAATGTTTATAGAGAATACTAAATCTACTCAGACTTTACTAAATTCATAATGAAGTGTCACTTTGTTGTCATAATAAATGGTATAATAAACATTATAATAACTTACCAGAATTCGCCATTTTCCTGCCGAATTCTGTTTGAAGGCAGTCAGCGATGCTCAGGTCGGTAGTACGTAGTTTCAAACCGAAACTCTGAAACAGAAAATAAACATAAACATTAAGTGATTACACTACGTTAAGAGTAGTTAGGTTACAAATTAAGAATTATTGAACTCGAGGTGTGTCGCAAAGATTGCAAACTGGATTAGAAATACGTAAATATTACATTAACTGTTACACAGTGAAACCGAAGAGTAACTGAAGACAATATCGAGCTAATGGCTGCGAACTTCGAATATATCTCATGAAACTACGTTCTATATTACATCGAATTAGGATTATTTTAGAAATCGATATGAGATTCAAAGTGTAAAAATGTCTAGTACTTTGAATGTTTTAGAAAATTATTCGAGATAAAGATGTATATTTAATAAATACATATCGAAGATTTATGTTAGTTATGTACATACTGAAACTTTCATTGAAATCGGTTAATATAGAAACGAGCGACAGACATCAAAAGATATGAGAATTGTTAGATTTACTACAGTTGTAGATCGAAAGTCAGGAAAAACTGCGATTTTCAACATTTTTAATCGTTTGTATCTCGTTGCAACGGTAACCGATTTTGATGAAATTTTCAACATGTATATAACTAACATAAATCTTCGATATGTATTTATTAAATTTTCATTATAGCCTCAGATTAAAAAGTCGTAAAACACGATCTTTAATAGTTTCTTCACGATTCGGACGAATTGCAACTTTTTCAAATTTTTTTTTCACATCATTTAGTAAATTAATGTCTCTAACTTCACAAAAAGCTCAAGTCATTTCAACGATATCTCACAGATCAATTTTAAAAGAGTTGTTCCGTTTTAAAGGGTGTACGAATACTTTTTACACACAGTGTATATAATTTGTTCACGGAAGCACGTACAAGTGTCAGTTAGATTTCGACAGTTGCACGAGCAACATTAGACAGAGCTCGAGATACGTACGAGCAACAATGATAAAGGATCACGTTTCAAAATTGTTGTGCATCCTCCGGGGGTTCTATGATCTCATTTCCTCACACTCACGGTGTCTCTGGTGCCTCCACCGGGGGCTCTATGACCCCACGCCCTCGCCCCACGGGGTCTGTGGCGCCACCTGTGGGGGTCCTCTGACCCTACGCGCTCACCACACAGGGTCTGTGGCGCCATCTGTGGGGATTCTGTGACTCCACGTTCTCTCCACCGGGGGTTCTATGACCCCACGCTCTCACCGCGCAGGGTCTAAGGAGTCTCCACCGGGGGCTCCGCGACCCCACGGTCTCTCCCCACGTGATCAATGGCGCCTCCACCGGGCCTCCGTGCAAGGTCTATAGCGCCTCCACCGGGGGCTCCGAGACCCCCGGTATCACCCCACGTGATCAATGGCGCCTCTTTCGCGGCCTCCGGGCAGGTTCTATAGCACCATCACCGTGGGCTCCGTGACCCCACGTACTCACCCCACGTGATCAACGTCGCCTCCACCGGGGCCTCCGTGACCCCACGCTCTCACCGTGCAGGGTCTATGGCGCCTCCACCGGGGGCTCCGTGACCTCACGTTCTCACTAGAGATGATGTGAACTGCTACTTGTGAATCACTCGTGATTCGATCACGTTCGTTCTCAATCACGGTAATTTTTCACAGTGATTCGTGATTTCTCGTGATC